AACATTTATGTTTACCACGAAAGCCCATGGAAAGCCAAATAAGTTATTGGTCTTTGGTCCTAAAGGTTTCAACAAGTATTTGACAGTTAATTCAAAGCTCTCATGATCCCAAGGATAGTTGTTGAAAGCCTCACTATCCTGAGATAAATTCACCCATTTAAGGGATATGTTGTTGTTGAGATCTTTGGCCAAAAGTACATTATGTACAACCAAAGTAAACACAATGACTCCTTGCGCTTCCTTGGTGTATCATCGACATTTAACAAATATATTAAATCAGGATTTTTGAAGCTTGTGCCAACAAGGGACATCAAGTCCTGCTCCTCAGTTGACTATCTTGTTTCTTCTTTTCCTCCTTTCTTTCGTCTCCATGATTCTTTTTTGACTATGAATTCAGGGACTGACTCAGAAGGAGGATGACATTTTAACCCTGAAACTATGACAAACTCTTTTCTGCCAAAGAAGAGTGGCATGCCACAATAATTAATCAAAACCTCATCATTCTTTTCAGGATTCTGAAAAATGAACCTTATTTTCAGAAGTTCATAGACCATGGTCATTTGAAAACGTGCATTATTATTCTTTGGCAAATCAAGAAAATGACCAAACCAACTATTCCGAAAAAAATCTTCCAAACCATTGTGCTTGAGGGTGATCCTGAAGGTGTCGAAAGGTTTTTCCATTGCTGACCTCATAATGCTATCACCAGTAGCATTAGACTGCAAATGCACAGGAAAAGTGTGTGCATTGATAGTTTTGATCCCATCATCCTCAACTTCATTTTTTTCTTGTTCTTCTTCCTCAACTTCTTTTTGTTTTCCTTTGTCTTCATCAACTTCATTTATTTGTTCTTCTTCTTCCTCAACTTCTTTTTTATTTCCCTCTTTTTCCTCAACTTCTTCTGCTCTTTCTCCATCATCATCTACTTCATTTTTTTCTTTTTCTCTTTCTTCATATTCTTTTTGAGAAAATTTTGCTTCTACTTGAGAAAAAGAAACTGCTTTAGATGCTAGTTCTTCTAAAAGAGTGGTAGTCGAATTTTCATTCTTCTTCCTACAAGTTCTAGTCCTAGGCCTCTACTGGATCTTTGTATCAGTTGTTTCTTTTGTTAATACAATTTTTCTTTTGACAGGAGCCATTATATTTGTATCTGCAAAATCAAATATTTCTTAACAAAAATAACAACAACCAAACACAACAACACAAACAACAAATACGATTCAATACCACACATGAACCAACCAACAAACCACAAAAACCTTCTTAAACCCTAACCAACGAACTACAAATTAAGATTTTTGAAATCAGATAATATTTCAAAAGGAATAACTATCCAACAATCCTACAAAGAAATAAGTGATAAAACCACTAAAAATGTCCTGATTTAATACCAGTAAGTATTCCTCAAAACCCTAATTAAATTTTACCTGACAAGATATCAACGATAAACTAGAAATGATGAGGGCAACGACGCCTTGTTGTAGAAGAGGATCGCAACACATTACCACTGATGTTGTAGAAAATATCGCAACAACAACCTTGATCTGTGAAGGAATAATGGAACGAGAGAAAGGAAGGAAAGAAGAGACAAGAAAACGGAAATTAGTAAAAATAAATTAAATTTGGAATATGAAACGACCTTTTATATAGGAGAGGAGAGAGGGAAAAATTAAGGGACGATTGTTTTAAACCTTTTTGATCTTTTTTTTGAATTTTGACAATTCAAAGTGTGAAATATGTTGCCACATATACCCTTTCTGTTGGGGCAAATACATATAATTCTGTGGTGTTTTTAACAACATATGTTATATATGTTACCACAGACACCATATTTCTTCCTTTCCATCAAAATTGACATTGGTTCCAACAAAATAAAAATAATATTAATAATCATTAATATTAATATTATCAGCAAAAATGAATAATTGATGACAATATAATATTGCCACATATCTCCTTTCTATGACATATGTTACCACATATCTTCTTTCTGTGACATATGTTGCCACATGTATCCTTTCTGTTAGGGAACATGCAAATAATTTTGTGGTATTTTTTACAACTGAGGTTATATATGTTGCCACAGACACCACATTTCTTCCTTTCCATCATAATTGACATTTGTTCCAACAAAATAAAAATATTAATAATAATCATTAATGTTAATATTATCAGAAAAAATTAACATTTCACCAACTGTTCTATACAACTTATCAACAAAAAAAGGTAATTCATAATGGTATACATAACCATCAATCTAATCAATAGTGGTAACCACAACATTTTCATCTATGAACTTTGCTTTTTTAGGTCTACGCCTTTGTGGGTCTTCATTGTTACTAACATAGCCACTCCGAGCCTTTACAATCCCATAATTCCATAGGAGTGAAGCATATCTCAAGCGAAAGGATTGAGAAATAATTCCATCAGATGGTATTTGTAGTCCATCACTCAAAAATTCAGCGTATGCAACAACAAAAACTCCACAATCACTGTATGGTATATCATCAATTAGAAAATATAATAAACCTAATGTTAACATCACATTTTGATAGTGGTAAGACTAAAAAAATAATGTGATAGTACTTATAGACTATTGCTTGCTTGTTGGGCAATACCAGTAACATGTATGACTTCAAATGGGTGAGATTTGTTCTTGCCCTGGTAAGATTCAAGAACTGACCAGTTGGTTTGGTCTTTTTGCTCATAAAATTCGCTGGATTCAAGGTACTTTGGCAACTTTGTAAACAACTTTTGAATCTCGGCGCATAATTTTTTTGTTAGTCCTAGATGAGGACATCGAATCATACACCTTTATGTGTCGTTCCTTCAATACAACGACTGCCAAGACCTAATGAAACTCCCTATTACAATTTACAGGGACATAAACCTCATCTGTGAGGTGCCAAGGCAGTCCAGCAGGTATACCAAACCCTTTGATAGTGCCAACGATTTTATTCTCATATTCAGGAACAACACTGGCATTGTTAATGTATGTTTTGAAAAAACAATAGTAGTGGTATATCGATATTTAGAATGACTCTATTGCTTCGACTTCTTCCGCAAATAGTATAAATGACATCCACATACTGCACAGAAGCATCAACAAGTGTTTTTCTGTATCAATTTATTTGTATGTATTCATGTCTTAATCAAAAGATAAAAGTGGGCATGAATTTACCTCATCAGTCCAGGACTTGTTGGGTTGAGACATTACGTAGAACCGGTCCTTCTTCTTTGGAAATGTAAATACAAAATCAAGTTGTTTGTACTCAAGATCCGAGCAATTGGCTAAGTAGTGATCGTCCTTGTCTCTTTTGCAATTTTGTAATTATTATAAATAAATATTTAGTCGACAAGAAGAAGAAATACTCATAAGAGTTGAACAACTTTACTTTTTTGCATGATGCTTGTAAAGACCCTCGTTTATCCATTGCGAGAAGGATGACATTAGTTCAGTTGGATCCTCGTCGTCAATGTTAAAACCTTCAAATGGATATTGTTGCTTCACATCACAACTGACGACTTTGACTTTCTTCTCTTTCTTTTTCTCTTTCTCTTTCACTTTCTTTTTCACTTTCTCCTTCTCCTTCTCCTGCTCCTTCTCATGCTCCTGCTCCTCCTCTTCTTTCTCCTTATCCTTGCCTTTTGGGTTTGAGTGTGATACTGGAGCAGTAGTCATTGATTTTTTTCTTTCACTAATTATAGATAGTGATTGGAAAATATATTTTTTCAACCTCATACACTTCAAAGGTTGTGAAATCTTCTTGGATGTATGGACATCAATATTATAAGTCATTTTCTTAAAAATATCAGTGAGTTTTTTAACACGACTAATAAAATAGTCATGTTGCTGCTCACAATCTTCGCATAGACAAAAATAGCATTTGATGTTAGAAGAGGAAGCAACGCCAATAAAAGATTGAGTTGTTGTCATGAATGAAGCTTCTTGTATCATTTCATCTACAAGGTAAATAAAAAAAGGTTGAGAGTTTACAATTGATTATAAAATAATAATGGGTAGCAGTTTATACTTATGTTGACACAGATGGATATTATGTTGATACAGATGTACCTTCTGTTGCCACAAATGAATCTTCTGTGGCCACACATAAATCTTCATGTGCCACAAATGAATCTTCTGTTACTACATATGACCATTTTGTTGCCCTAACACATAGGTGATATGCTCCAACATATGACAACTCTGTTGGAATATATACCAACATATCACTAAAATGTAGCAACATACGACACATCTTCCTACAAATGAAATATATGTTGGATAACTGAATAAGACTATATTTTTAAAATCATATGAACAAAATGGTCACAAAATAACAACAAAAGCAACAAAAAATGATTTTTCACTGAATGTTAACAAACATATACATTTCCTCAAAATTAGGGCTTTTTTGGGTTTGTTGATTGTCTTTCAAAAACAATAAATAATAGGTACCATTACACTATTATTCAATTTTCACATCTATAGAGCGATTTATTGTTCATTGACCCAAGAAAAAAACTTAGTATTGTTCGAAAATTGTAAAATCTTTCAAAAAACTGACTTACCCATTTTAAGTCGAACACAATCTTCAGTTCAGAAAGAAGAGAGAGTCACGGTTGGAGAAGAGGAGGAAGATAAGATAATGAGGGAGAATATTTGTTTTGATAGTTGAATTTTTGGATTTTCGAAGGAAGAAGAAGAAGAGAAGAGAGAACGTTGGGAGAAGAAAGAAAATTCTATTTTCTTTTACTTTTTTTTTAAATGGTTTGGATAGAATTATAAAAGTTGAAAAATGAAGTTTTTTTTTGTATTGTATTTTATGAAAGATTAGAAAATTTTAAAAATATTAATTTGGTCCCAAATTTACTTAATTACATTTTAAAAATAAATTTAACCATTTCTTGGTCAAAGTATCACCAAAAACAAAATCCAAACTTAATTGAGACCTTTCATTTAATTGTCTCAACCTACAAACAGGGGTGAGACGAATAGAACACTATCCCTTCTTTGTAGAAAAAACCCCTCCTAGTCCACTCCTCACTCTGCAAGGAACGATGGCGGACCGTGATCGAACTCGAGACCGCGACCGTGACCGTGAACGGGATCGTGAGCGTGACCGAGAAAGGGACAAGGATAGAGACAGAGATCGGAAACGAGACCGGGAAGACCGTGATCGGAGAGACCGTGAACATTCTTTTACCCCTGACCTTAACAGAACTACTCGGCATACACGCTCCCGTACTCGTTCCCCTTCCACTGACCGGCACCGACACCGCCACCGTTCTACCTCTCGTTCCCGTTCTCCCACTGACCGTCGCCACCGTCACCACCGCCGCAGGAGTCCCTCAGCTGAAAGTCCTCCAAGGAAAAGGCATAAAGATGATGGTGAACGGGATAGGGACAGGCGCAGAGAAGTTTCGGATTTTGTGGATGGGATAGCCAAAGAACAACAGAAACAGAAGAAAAAGAACAAGGACAAGGAGGATGGGAGTGGGAGTGGGGATGTTGGTGAAGGAGGAGAAGAGATGATGGATGAGGATGAGATTGAGATGATGAAGAAATTTGGGATACCAGTAGGGTTTGATTCTACAAAAGGAAAGCCAGTGGCTGGAAATGATGTAGGTGCTGTAAGAAAAGTCACCAAACGCCAGCCTCGACAGTACATGAATAGGCGTGGTGGGTTCAATAGGCCCTTGCCTGCTGAGTGCAACCGCTGAGCTTTTCAGGTTAGGGTTCTAATTTTCTCTATAAAGCCAAGAGCTTAGTACATTTATTTTGGGGTTAGTTGTGGAATTTTGAGTGTTAGAAAGTTGATTGTATGCATATCCTAGTAAATTGAAAAGAATTATGATGTTTGCTGGCAGATAAAAGGTAGTGAGCTTGTATGTTATTTGATTAGGGAGAAATATATCAGCAAAGTATGTTGTTTTGGATTTGTTTGAAGATTTATGAAGAAAAATGCAGACAGTGCAATACAGTGAAAACCTACTGTAGTAGTAAGTTGTGTTTATCATTTGAAGTTTTGAGTGCATAACATGTGCATCTTTAACCTTATATGCGTTTAATTAGGCGTCAAACAAAGTGTTTGACTCAGGGGACTGGTTGCGGAAGCAGCTATTTTTCAAGCTTTAATTCTGCCACCCCTTCTAAATAAATTAGATAATCTAAAAGTTCATTTGAAGAAATATTCCCTCTAAAGAGCTTTTCTTTTAAAATTATCATCATAGATTGTGGCACTGTTCTTTGTCCTTGTGTTGTGTCGTGTTCATGAAAAGATTGTTTAGAAAGAATTATGTGTCTGGGAAGCATTTGCTTGCTGATTATACTTTGAAGAGTGTGCAAGAGATCTGACAGTCATGGGAACGAGTGGAAACCGTTTGTGCATTAACTGAGAGTGCAAAGGAGCATTGATGCTCTGTCGATGCATGCTTATACTATTGTGACTCAAGTTATGGATCAATAGTCAAGATTCTCAAGTTCACCCTTAATATTTGAATTAATTTTAACAGTTGTTGGTGCTTGTGAGCTAAGTTGCTTAGACTCGGGTGCAAGTGTCCGATGAGTGTGCGGATCTTGAGTTCAGATGCTTTATGATCTAAATTTTTTTAAGATTCGGGATATGGATCCATGTGTGGATACGGGTGCGGGGATTCGGCTAAAAATAATTCAAATATCTAAAAATAAAGTTATAAAACCTAAATTATGAAATATTATGTGGAGAACTTGAGGAGAAATATTGATCAAGAGGAGAATCTTGATAGGAGATAAAAGGAAATTGAGCGACAAATAGAAATTTATATATACAAGGTATTTCATTTTCTTCAATTTCACCTTAGTTTTTGTTTTGCTTATAGAAGTCATTGTTCATCCAGAATATCTTCCCTGAATTTGGTCAAAGTACCCAAAACTAGTTGACCAGATCAGGTACAGATTCCACACCCACACCCATGCAGTGTCGACACGGGTGTGGTACTGAAAGTGAAGAGTCTGAGCAAATTAGCTTGTGAGTCCGTCATTCAATGTGCTTTTCCGGATAACATATTAACCCAGACTAGGCTTATGTTCCTTATAATTTGATGAATTCTCCTTATGGTTATCTTTGTCTTACCTGAAGAGGTTGGTTGAAATTATTAATGGCTTAGTGCAAATGTTCCAGACTTCGTGGTGTAGCATTTATTGTTTACTGATAGAGTCTTATAGTCTGTTTGGCCAAACTTGTTTTCCCCCAAAAGTGTTTATTTTAAAAAGTAAGGTGTTTGGCCAAAGCTTTCAGGAGAAAATAAGTGTTTCTGGAAAGTAGCAGAACTGTCTTTCAGAAGCTAAAAGAAATTGCTTTCCCCAAAAGTACTTTTTTGAAAACCACTTTGAGCAAAACACACTTAGAACTTAGAAGCACTTTTAGAAATCCTGGTCAAACATTTATTACTGCTCAGATGTGATTTTTGAATTTATTGGTCAAACACAAATTGTTTCTGACCAAAAGTATTATTTTGAAAAGCACTTATTAATGTAAGTTGATTTTAGAAGCTTGACCAAACAAGCTATTAGAAGTCTAAGGTAGGTGAAACATTGTATAATCTACACTTTTTCAGAAAAAATGTTAAAAGACAAAACAACAACATACTTATTCATAAAAAAAGAAAAAGACACCTACACCTTGATACTAAACAAGTTGGAGTCATCTATATAAATCCTCACTAACCATAATTCTAGATTTAGAGCCTGTTTGGATTGACTTTTAGCTTTTGACCTAGCCAAAAGCCATAAGTTTAGAGAATCGATTGGAGAAAAATTGGGTCTTTCATCATCTGTAGTTGTTATTACATCAACGAATTCCCCACTCTCAGCCTGGTTTGTAAATTCTACTAATGAAGTCTGTTGCTCCTCTGTGATTGGCTCTCCAATGATGCTGTCAAAAAATGCACCCTCAGGTAAATTTGCTTCGAGTTCAATCACCATAGGATCGAGTTTGATATGTACTGCCTCTTTTGTCTGATGAAGCTCCAGGATTTGGTCTTTCTTAAAAAGTTAAGGGGCTTCATTAAGTGAAGTTGGGCCTCCCTTAACTGAAAACACTTTTCTTTTAGACATTTCTTTTCTCCCAAACTGGCCCGATTTCATTTAAATTAAAACCCTCTTGTGCACATGTCCAGGATGCGTGCCAGCTGTTGTTTTGAATACAGAGCTCGCGTGCCTGTTGTTATCTCTGCCAGCAAATAGATCTCTGTTTCTTCCTCTGTTATCCTCTAATACCCAGAGGTTCTTACCCATAGACTTCTTCCTTTTTCCGGTTATTACTAATGTCTGAGTTTCTGGCCAGATCGGAATAGAAAAGGTGAGTCCTTTCTCCAATAACTTGACCTCTCTTGGAATGTTCACCCCATCGCCTTTAACTCTCAACCTTGCCCATCTCAGGTGATTCTTAAGAGACCTTTCTTCCTCCGTTTCTATCTATCCACCACATTGGTCACCAATGGCTTTGAAAGCATTCTCCGTCCATAGATGCAAAGGAAGGCCCACAGCTCTTATCCAGGTAGAACTTTTGCGCTGAGTGCAGCATCCCCCTGTTGGTGTCCATCATTGAAGATGGAGTTTCAACTGTTTCCACGTCCAGTCTCCATGAAGGACATGTTCAGCCACGTGTTTGTTGGGAAATTCAAAAAGGAAGGAACTTCCACCCATCTCGTAAATGTTGATCCCAAATGCCTTTTTCCGTGAACTAATGACCCATCTTCTGATGTCTGAAAGAGTGCGTGTCTCCTTCTCATCACACCAAACCTTCCAACCAACCACCTGCCCAATAAACCTGGTTGTAGCTCTGTGTCAACCACTGAGGTGGCCATCTTTGCCCTGTCATGACTGATTTCTGATTCAGATGCTACCTTTGCTTGCCATTTACTGGTTCTGACAGTTGACATAGAGAATATTTGGATCTGTCAATCTAGGTCTACTTGTAGTAGGTGCTTCCTTTTGGTTTTTAATGAAGTTGTCTATCTTTAATGCAATGTCACCCCATATTAGCAAGTTCATTATAATAACTGATCTATTCCCTCCTTGTACTGTTACAATGCTTATAAATCTCCCAAACTTATTTTGTTTCCTGGAGAAATAAAAATCTGCAAACTTTTCATTAAGCTTCCACCTTCTTGTATGCATTCTGTAGTCTAGGGGTGTGCATTCGGTTTTTTGGTTTGGTTTTACACTATTCGGTTTGGATTTACGGTTTTTGGTTTTGTAAAAGTGTAACCCAATCCGATCCAAAATAAATTTGGTTTGGTTTGGTTTTCCTCTATTCGGTTTGGCTTTCTTCGGTTTGGTTATTCGGTTATGTCAATAATTAATAATATATAACCAAAGTAATAATATTTAATTCATTAAATATACTTTCTAATATAAATCATAAATAAAACTTAAAACACAATACTTATAAGTATACCTATTATAGATGTAATTCAAACATAAAAGGGAGAAGGCACAAGTACCCCCTAGACTATGACCAAAATCACAGAGACACACCTTAACTTAATTAAGGTCCTATTACCCCCTTGAACTCATTTTTTTTTGTAATTTTGTACACCTTTTGACTTATGTGGCACACCACGCGACTCCACGCAGTATATATAAAATTCGGTTTTTTCGGTTTTTATCTTTTAAAATCCGAAACCAAACCAAAAAACCAAACAAAATAATTTATTAATCCAAAACCAATCCAAAAAACCAAAAAACCAATCCAAATAAAAATTCGGTTTAATTTGGTTTGGTTATTCGGTTTAATCCAAATAGTGCACACCCCTACTGTAGTCCCTAAAAGCTTCTTGCAGAACGAAGATTAACCATTCCATGGTTTTCTTGTTGAATGTATTTCTAAGCATCAAATTCCGGCTTCTCTCCACCCATTCAAACCAGGTTTCTATTCTGGTAGTCAATCTTGTTAAATCAGATGACTTAAAGCCAACTGCAAAATAAATTCTATTTTCCCCCATATTGTTTTGTAAGACCTAATCAAACGGATGTTTTAGTGATCACAGAGGGTGATTACCGTTGGCTAACGAAAATGAGGTTAAAATCCGGTGAAGTCTTGTCGGAAAGGTGTATTCTACAGCCCTAGAGAGTAGGATTCAAAAAGTTCTCGAAAGACATGCCTGGGAGCATTTTGGAACAACTATTCATTACTAACACCACTTGGTCGTTTTCCTTCCATGGCAAATTATAGGCTGATTTTGCTGAAAAGGATCTTGTGCAAGTCCCTTTCCAGTTCAATAGCCTATTTGGCCAAGCTTCTCCAAGGCCAAAAGTGCTTTGTGCTTCTTTTTTTTTTCAAAACAGAAGGGGTTCTTTCTATCCGTAGAATCTTTTCCTTATGCTAGTACTTTTTACGCTCGCGTCTCACCAAAAGTACTACTTTGAATTTTAAGAAGGGAAAAGGGCCAAAAATGCCTTCAACCATGGGAAATAGAGCAAAATTGCCCTTATTTTGACTTTAGTCCCAAACATAGCCTTATCACTGGTGGATTGGTTCAGATTTGCCCCTCAACTATGGAAAATTGAACAAATTTTCCCTCCGTTTGGATTTGGTCCAAAATTGCGCTTATAAAAAATGAGTGGGACTAGCTCATTTTATTTTTTATTTTTTTATAACCGAGAAATCTGTCTGTGACCTGCCCTTTGGACCAATCACAGCCTTCTAAACTCGGTGGATAATGGTCCCCCCTCTACCCTTCTCCACTTAAAAACCGGGCTTCGCTTTGCATGGTGTGGGGCTTGAACCTGCGACCTAAGCCACAAATCCTCCAACTTTTGCCACTTGAGCTAGGCCTTGGGGGCGGGACGGCTCATGTTTGTCATTCATTTTTTTGATCAGTCTTTTATTGTAGGGTCAAAAAATTGACTTCTATTTCTTAAACAACCAGAGGAAGAATAAATGGAAAAAACAAGAACACAGATTTTCCCCCCAGAATTATACATTAAAAGTAAAAGCAAATATCCACAAAATATTTCATGTTGCTCAAAGGGTAATTGATAAGTCTTTTCTCTTTCTCTTTCTGTCTTCATGAAGATCAATACTCTTTTTGTCTGTGCTATTACAACTGTATGAATAAATGGTTAGCTCAAAGAAATAAATTGATATTTTTTACAATTTGTTGTTTCTGGAATGAGTTGCCTCATTGTTCCAGCTTTTCAACATACAGAAGGTCGTCTACCTGGCATTACACATCTGATGCCTATTAGACTGGTGAACAAGTTCCATAGTTGTCTAGTAACCCTTCAATGTAAAAACGGATGGCTGATTATCTCTGCATCCTGTCCACACATGTAGCATCTTGAACATAGTGTCATGACCCCTCCTTCTATGATTATCCTATGCAACAGATTCCTTAACCACCAGCCATCTAAAACATGCCACTTATGTAGTATCTTGACTTTCCAAATGTGTTTCCAGGGCCACAATGTTAGTTGGGAGTCTGCCTGATTCTGATCTTTGTAGGCTGACTTGACTGTGTAAATGCCACTGCTATGCTTTGGCCACCTTAAGGTGTCTGCACCCCTCCTGTAGGCCATTCCTCTGCTCCATAGTTTTGAAGAATTCTAATATTCTTGGCATCTCCCAATCTTGCAATCTTCTCCTGAATGTTGGGTCCAGCCTTGTGTGGACCAAACTACCTGTAAAGTTCACTCTTTTGTATACTTGTGCCAAATAAATCAGGGAATATTTATCTCAAAAAAAAATTAAAAAAAATCAGGGAATAACTGCTTCAGGTTTCCTTTCTCCAGCCAAAAATCCTCCCAGAACAAAGTTCTCCTTCCATCCTTCACATTATATCTCAGTTCTTCACTAAAGTTCCACCACAATTTTCTGATAGATCTCCATGCACTGACACCATAATGCTTGTTCTTCTCTAGTGAACCTCCATAGCCACTTCATTAAGAAACATTGTTTTTGTTTCTTCAGGTTCCTCATACCCAGACCAGATGGGAATCCTTCTTTTCTTAATCACTTTTTTGCTGATAATCACTTTTATCCATCTGACCAGAACTCCATGATAATAGTACTCCAATAGTTTCACAGTTTGCTGCAGACTGCAGACGAGCAGTAGCAGATGCACCGTTAATTCAGGGTCCAGCCAAATGGTTAGCTGGTTAATCAAGTGCCCCTCCCTCCCTTTAAAGCAGGCATTCTTAAACACCATATGTTTTCTCATTGAGGTTACTGATGTGAACGTGCATTTGGCCATCACATCTTGTGTTATGTGTTCTCAGATCTCTCCTGAAAAAGGCACTTCTTCATAAATCAGCTTACATTTGGATTTGGCTATACTGTTGCTCGCTATGTGCACTCAAGTCTTGTATTGATCACTTTCTGATACCTTTTATTGATATTCGCCCCCTTGGTTCCAATGATGTGAAATCTGCCAATTTGTTTCTTTATGTTACATAATCATACCCAGTTTTGGGGCATCAGCTTATTAACTCAGGTGGGATAGTGTGCATGATATCTGATTGTTCGCTTCAGTGTGGAACTAGTTATAATGGAAAATGATAATCTCTTTTGCTGATAATCACTTTTATCCATCTGACCAGATGGGAATCCTTCTTTTCTTAATGCATCCAGTCTCTTCTCCACACTTAGGCCAAGGAAAAAGAAACATCGTAGGTAGGAAGGCATCTAGGACAGAGTTGATAAGGGTCACCCTTCCTCCCAAGGATGAATACCGTGATTTCCACCTTGTCAATTTTTTCTCACACCTTTCTAAAGTTCCAGTCTGAGTTTCTTTGGATTTTCTCCTTGCTCTTACTGGCATTCCAAGGTAAGTAGTAGTAATACTTCCAATTTCTTCTCCAAGAATCTCTGTTTCCTGCTGCAATCTGTTCACATTATTTACTGGATAAATTTGACTCTTCCTCCAATTGATTGACTAAGCGTCAAGGACAGTTTGTATTTTGGGAAATAAGGTGATACTTCGATATATTGGTATCATCCCTATTCCTTTTAACCCTGTAGCCAATGTTGGATTATTGCTGGCAATTCTTCTTTTCTTAAACACTTTTACTGGCTCTTGTTAATCAGTCTTTCTACTGTTCTCAACAAATCAAAAGATTGGAAGCACTCCTTTTTTTAGAGCTTACTGAAATGTGATATTACTGACAAATAAAAGAACAGTCGTTCATCAGATAAATGTTCCAATAACATGAGAGAAATTGCCTCTGAAAGAGTGATAAAAAAATGGTGCTCCCTCTCTCTCAATTTATGCGTTGCACTTTTCTTTTAGTCTGTCCTAGAATGAACGAATATATTTCTATATCTAGAAATAGTTTAACTTTAAGCTTCCCATTTTACCTTAATGGGATGATTTATAGCCATGAAAATATCTATGACTTGTTTTAGATCACAAGTCTTAAACTCCATGCCCAGTCAAACAACATCACATAAAATGAGATGGAGTATTTCTAAAGGAAATTTATTTACCCAGCTCATTTTGTAGTTTTTTTCGTGTTAGAAGGTATTGTGATATAATCAAGAGTGGAAAGTGATGAAGCTTATAGGTAAACGACTTTGCTTTCCTGGGGAAGGTTCTGTAGCTGGATAGATTGTGATGAGTGTTGCTAACATGTGGTCTGATATTGGAAGTTTGTTCAAAATTGAATGTCTCCTGAATTTGGAATGAGTATTTTCGATATGTAGGGTTATTTGTTGGAACAATTATTCGACGATGTTTCTGCGTTTACATGCTAAGGTTCTTCTTTGTTTTTGCTACTTGGAACAAATAATGATTTTTAATGTGATTCTCGGTCTATCTGCAGATGGAAATGCATTTTCTGCCAGGCTTCTTATATGAGTCTGTCCCTTTGTCCAAGTAATGGAGACGATGTAAGATATTTTCAATTGTCTGTTTAGGTTGTAATGTGCGATATTTCTCAGAACTCCATGATAATAGTACTCCAATAGTTTCACAGTTTGCTGCAGACTGCAGACGAGCAGTAGCAGATGCACCGTTAATTCAGGGTCCAGCCAAATGGTTAGCTGGTTAATCAAGTGCCCCTCCCTCCCTTTAAAGCAGGCATTCTTAAACACCATATGTTTTCTCATTGAGGTTACTGATGTGAACGTGCATTTGGCCATCACATCTTGTGTTATGTGTTCTCAGATCTCTCCTGAAAAAGGCACTTCTTCATAAATCAGCTTACATTTGGATTTGGCTATACTGTTGCTCGCTATGTGCACTCAAGTCTTGTATTGATCACTTTCTGATACCTTTTATTGATATTCGCCCCCTTGGTTCCAATGATGTGAAATCTGCCAATTTGTTTCTTTATGTTACATAATCATACCCAGTTTTGGGGCATCAGCTTATTAACTCAGGTGGGATAGTGTGCATGATATCTGATTGTTCACTTCAGTGTGGAACTAGTTATAATGGAAAATGAGGTTTTTACAGAGTAGTATGTCTTGACAGGGAAAGAAAGAGAACGGAAGTGTTTTCGAGAAAAAGGGTTCCTAAGACACGTGTTTTTTTCTCCAAAACCTTTTTCTTTGGGGTTGGGGTGGTGGTTATTTGATGACTTCAAGAAGTGATCAGCATAACCCAGTTGTGTAGATGGATAGTTTTGATCCAAGTTGAAATTACTTCTTGTTTTAGTTTGAACATTATCCTCTTTTGGCTAAAAAATTTTTTCATATGATTGATTTGGCCTTTTCTTAGAAACTGTTGTTTGTTCGGTGTTGATTTATATAAAGTAATAGAAATTACATCATCTATGAAGCCACAAAGGAGCTACTTGAACTTTTCTCTGGTGTCCCTTAGTGATAGAAAACTGAGTAAATAGGACGACTAATATTTACAGTATCTCTTAAGATAGGGTCGGACTGGAACCCAAACCTTGATTTCTTCTCAGGTCTGCCTGACTATCGTCCAAAAATAAGTGTAAAATGAGTGAACATTCTTGGATGTAATTGCAAGTGAATTAAGTGTCTTTCTAGCCAGTCAATATTTCTGATTAAACGAGCACTAAACAGTTCAGGGAAACCTTGTTACATTGCCTTTCACCTCTTTGAATGCTAATGAATAAAACTTGTCTTCATAATAAAGTCAGAAGGAACAACTAGGCCAATAAGGAGAAAAGGGATTAGTTATCTCTAGTGCTATGGCAATAAAGTTGTCTAACCATCTCCATTTACTCTCTTTGTTCAGCCATGCTTTTTTTTTTCCCATCTGCAACATCACTGCAGGTACAAAAACACTTAAAGTAGTAGTAGGCTTAGTTCATTTTATTTATTTTTTTGGCCAGGAAAAATTGGTATATCCTACTATTTGTTTAATATTGTTGTCGTTTTGGGGGTTTGTCCATCCAGTCTCCAGAACTAGCGTTCCTTATCAAAGAGGTCATTTTTACTCCTAGGGAAACTTTATTATTCAGCGTTCCTTTCTGAAGTAACATATTCCCCTTTTAAACAAATTTAATACAGAACCAAACACCATTATGGAAATCTTGAAACATTTATTTCCCTTCAACAGCTATTACCATTTACTGCCTTGTTGTAAATAGCATTTAGCCATTCCATTGTTTTTCAAAACTAAGAAAGACGATTTCAACCATAAACCTTTAGGTCCTGAGTTAAAAATCTTGCGTCGTTCACCCTCTTAAGGCTAGAGCTTAGTTGTTTTTGGAACAAACAGAAAGACCATTACAAAAGTTGACTGAGACGACAGGTAGCAAATTTTATGCTGCAGGTTTCTGGATGAGGAAGGCCATGCACTGCGCCTGCTTAACATTGTCAAATGCCAAGCAACGAATAAAAGCATTTGGGTAAGCTTTCTTGCATTCTTGGATTTCATTGAGAACCTGAGAAGAGTCATTGCAGCTAAACATGGGCAACTTCCAGAGTGTCCAATACCTCCCATCATAGTATCCTGGCATGTTGCCATTTTCCCTATGTACATATCCCACCTACAAAACACACAAAGCAAACACTAGTCAGTCACTATATAAAGTGTTAAGAGTTTTAAGTTTTTAATACTGATGGGGTAAGTTCACGCTATCAGTTGACCTAAACAGTTACATTGGAAGTAGGAATAGTGCAACAATCCATAATATAATGAGTGAGATTATAATCTCAAAAAACACTTGTGAAAAATCTAGTTGACAAGTTAGCCTTATTCACCAACAGATATTCAAGCGTATTTCTCACATTATTGGCGTGTGAACCACACAATTATTGGACATTTTAGGTCCCCCCACGTTCATCGTTCAAGAGACAGGCAGGACGTATACTCGATTTTGGGAGCACCACTTATGTCATATTTTTAGTGTGTAAAAAATTTCAAGTCTACCCACATTGGGATAACTTCAAACATCTGTCTGAAGTTCAGGCACATACATTTGAAGTCTAACCATTTTTAATTGAATTTCAATCATATGTGGTTGAATTCAATTATTTTTGTTTGATACAAAGCCTAACTTCAAGCATAACATGTCTGAAGTTGTTTTGAAGTTAGTAGACAAACAAATTATTTTTAACAAGGGATACATGTTAAATATCATAGCAAGTCAAGACTCGAGAACATCCATGTTAAGAAGATGCAAGTTGCGAGAATGAAGAATGAAGATGTTGAGATGGATGTATAGGCGTACTAGAAGTGATAGGATCAGGAACGAGGATAGGATATTCGGAACAATGTGAGAATGACTTCACTATAAGACATACCACTGATATATACCTGGTCAAATTCAAGGCAAGGAATCCAACCCTTTTTGATCATGTAATCAACCTCTTTTGCAATGGACTCCTCTGATTGAGGTGGAAGATATGACAGTGTCTCAAACTTCTTATTGTCAATAGGATTCCAAGTCTGTTCATTCCATACAACCAAAAATAGTTAAAATAACAAGAATGAAATATCCAAAAACAAATAATTTTACTTAAAACTGTAATTTAGTACTTACAACATAATGAGATTCCACATAATAATAACATACTCCGTGTTTAGTCTCACAAGTGAGATATGGGGAAGATAGTGTGTACATAGCCTTACCCCTATCTTATAAAGGTAAATAGATTGGTTTCGATAGGCCCTCGGTTCAAGTAAAATCAACAAGGCAAGTACAGTAACAAGATTCCATTTTCAAATGATCAAGAACAATTAAAGTCCTCTATCAATCAAAGTAAATATTAAAAAAAAACACACAATCTTTTTAGTATTGTCTATATCCTGTTTAAACTCTTGAGTAAAACAAAGAGGAACTTTGTGGGGTTAATTGAACAGTGATATCAGAAAAGTGAATAGAAAGGATGTTATAGCTCGAGAATGATAAACTAATTTTATGTACTCTCTCAAGTGACTTAAAAGTAATTAGTAATTATGGTGAACTCTACATATAAAAGTACCTCCTTTTTTATTATTATTTTAAAGTGATTATTTTAAAAAAATTGAGGTGTTTGATTAAACTTTTAAGAAAAAATAAGTGTTTTTCGAATAATAATATTTTTAAAAGCCGAAAAAAGTAACTTTTTTTCCTAAAAAAAAAATACTTTTCGAACTTTGACCAAACATTAGTGTCATAATATTGCAAAAGTGCTCTTCCTGCTGATTAGCGAAAGACAAATCGCTACTCTCTAAAAAATATTTTTTTCAAAAAGACATTTGACTAAAATTATTTTTCAAAATAAGCAAATTTTAAAAGTTTGCAAACAAATTACAACCATTTTGGTAATCAAGAATAAATGGTACTCCAAGTAACTTATAACACCAGATTTATTTGAATTCAATACTTTTGATGCAAAACATAAATTTATACTAATAAATAGGAATAGACATGAATTCATAACTTTAAAGATCAAATAATATAAATGCTAAAAATTGTTAGAACTCATAAAATTTAAAATAAATTTGCTAAATGCATGTACCTTAGGAAATTGAAACCACCCCAAATAAGTTTGCTATAATTTGTATGAAGAAAATTAATTTACCTTCATGCAGTAAGTTTTAGAGCCATTGGAGATAGTTTTTCGACTCCAAGTGATTGTATCCTTAGCAGCAGGAAAAAGGTTGGAGCTATTTGATTTTAAACCAACATAAGTTGATCCAGCAATTGGAGTTACAAAACTTGAGACAGACATGTTTGCTCTTCAGTATCAAATACTTTAGTTATGACAATTAGCTATCTAGTCTAGTCTAGTATATATAAAGGGAGAAGTGATGCTTTTTGTTTGTTTCCAACCTGATGTCTGATACTCACTTTGGAGTCCGACTAAATTTGAATTCGCACCAGAAAGTTCCACATTAGGGGTAAAACAGTTCTCTAACAAAAGACAACTATGTATCTAAGAGGACTCAAACTTGAGACCTCTTAATTAAGGAGGAAGGAATACTTATCACTCGATCAAAAACTTTTTTGGTAGAAGTGATGCTTTTATTATATGTATATAAGTGTATTTTTGTTGGTATTGTGGAAGTTGTTACATAAGAGGACAAAGGAGAGTGAGGTACTAGGGGTATGCATGTAGTGTTGGGTGGTAGACGGTATTTACGAGGATGGGAGTTCTGTTAGGCATCATAATGCATTGGTTTCATCACCATTCTGTTGTAATTTTATTTATCATACACATCCCCTTGTGTTTGCTTTTATTATAATGATCTCCCCTCTACTTTATTTTGATATTTTTATAACACTTCTTTTAATTTATTGATCATAAATGTAAAAAAAAAAACTACTATTACTTGACAAATAGTCAAAAGTGTCCCCCCCCCCCCCTCCCCCCTAAAAAGTGGTTTTTATATATAAAAAAAAGTGAGGTGTTTGATCAATTTTCGAGAAAAAAACAAGTGTTGGAAATAACATAAGCTTCTTTCAAAAACTAAGGAAATAGCTTTCTTCCAAAAATATTTTTTTGAAAATTATTTTTGAAAAAAATAAACTTGAAAGTACTTTTTAGAAACTAGGCCAAGAACACTTTAAAAAAAACTAAAATCAAAATCATTATCAACAATAATATCATACTCGGTGAATTCCACAAGTGGAATTTTGAGAGGGTAGAATGTACACGGACATTGCCACTACCTCGTGGAGGTAAAGAGGTTGTTTTCAAAAGATCTTCGGCTCAAGTGCAGTAAATTCAGATACAAAGAAGAAGGAGAGAGTGAAGAAATATAACAAGTAATAAGAAAAAGTCTATTAGAAGAGAGCAACAACAACAGTAAAATAGTGCGATAATCAAAACACAATAAACAACATAATAGGATAGATTATTGAAAATGATGAATATCAAAATAAGAATTGCAGTAATACAAGTAGTACAATGGAAAACATCAATCACCCTAAATAAGACAATACTACACTACCTACTAACCTTCTACATGATACGTGTCATCCACACACTTCTATCTAAGATCATGTCATCAGTAACTTGATGTTGCGTCATATCATGTCTTATAAGCTCTCCCCAATACTTTTTTGGCCTACCTAGGTCTCTCATCATACTCTCTATAACCAACATCTTGCACCTCTTCAAGGGTGCATCAACACATCTTCTCTTCACAAGTCCAAACCATCTTAGTCTCGTTTCTCTCATCTTGTCCACCACAAAGGTCACTCCCACCTTATTTTGTATATCCTCGTGATTTCTTATCTTATCGCTCCTAGTATGATCTGATATTCACCTTAGCATCCTTAGCTGCGCAACATGCATCTTCTGAACATGAGAGTTTTTGATCGGTCAACACTCTGCCCCAAACAACAATGTCGGTCAACCACCACACTCTACAGAACTTACATTTGAATTTTTGTGGTACCTTTTTATTACACAGGACTCCAGAAGCAAGTCTTCACTTCACCCACGCTGCACCAATATGATGTGCGAAATATCCTCATCGGTGTCCCCACTCCATTGGATTATAACTCAAGGTACTTGAATTTCTCTCCTGGGGATATTTTGTGTGTCAAGTCTCACTTCCACGCCTATTTCATGCATCACATCCCTAAATTTACACTCCACACACTCTGTCTTGGTCCTGTTCAACATTTACCCTTTAGTCTCCAAAGTTTGTCTCCACACCTCTAATTTATCATTAAATCCATTACGTGTCTCATCAATCAGTATTATATCATCCATAATCCGCAAATAACATACACCGAGGCACCTCATCTTGAATGTCTCACATCAATTCATCCATTATCAAGGCAAATAGAAACAAATTAAGAGTTGATCCCTGATGTAATTATATCTCTACCAAGAAGTACTTTGAGTCTCCTCCCATTATTTTTACCCCCGTTTTAGCTCCTTGTACATGTTCTTTATCTCTCTAATATAATACCACCAATACACCTCTTACCTTCAAGAATCGCCACAAGACTTCCCTCAGAACCTTATCATAGATCTTCTCAAGGTCGATAAACACCATATGCAAGTCTCTCTTTATTTTCCTATACTTTTCCATCAGTCTCCTCACAAGATGGATGGATTATATGGTTGATTTCCCTTACATGAATCCAAACTAATTCTTGAAAAATACACACCCCTCATCACCCTCATCTTTATCACTCTCTCTCTCAAACTTTCATAGTGTGACTTAACAACTTAATACTCATATACTTAGTAATTTTGGATATCACCCTTGTTTTTGTACAATGAAATCATTGTACTCCACCTTCATTCCTCGAGCATCTTAGCCGTTTTAAAAATGACCAAGTTAGTCAACCACTCCAAACCTACTTTATTCGTGCTCTTCCAATACTCTATCGAGATCTCATGTGGTCATATCGTCTTTCCCCTACTCATCCTACTAATAGTATGCTTCACCTCCGCAACATTAATATGTGATACCGAAAATTTTGATGTCTCTTTGAGTGTTCCAACTCACCTAGAATAATGTCTTTGCCCGTTCTTCTTTCAATAGTTTGTGAAAATACACTTTCCATCTTTGTGTAATGAGGATCTCCTCTGTCAACACCTCATCTTCTTCATCTTTGAGGTACTTCACTTGATCCAAGTCTAGGGCCTTCCTCTCTTTCGCATTCACAAGCTTGTACAATTCTTTTTATCTCCGCCCGTATCCCTTATTTTAATATATAGTAATTTTTCAAAAGTAACTATCTTAGCTGTTGTAACCGCTAACTTAGCCTCCATCCTTGCCGCCTTATAAATTTTCTTATTCACTCGCTTCTCATCTTCGATCGTGCAGTTCACCTACTTTGCATACACAACCTTCCTTACTTTCACTTTGTCCTGAACTTCTTCATTTCACCACCAATTCCGTCGGCTTCCACCAAAGTTATCCTTCGATATCCCTAACACCTCTCTAGCTACTTTCTTAATGCAACTAATTGTCTTATCCCACATGTTTTTTTTTTGCATCTCCACTACTCCTCCAGGCTTCCATCGCAATTATTTTTTCTCTGATTACACGGGATAGGGCAGGTGTCAATGCATCTCATTTAGTTCTAGATCAAACATATAAATTCTTCTTCCACCTTCCTCACTTAATATCTAAGTTCATTACCAAAAAATATTATCAACTAGTGGATAAATAAATAAATCAAACAAAGGTCTTTCAAAAAAACAAACAAAAGAAAAACAGAAGCTATAATTTGGAGAACAACTCCAATATTGCAACAGAAAGAAAATAAAGATAACAAAGAAAAATGTAAAAGCTAAAAATATTTGCAGGAGAATCAATTGCCTTGGTTTGACATCATTGGTTTATTCATCAAAGCTCTTATAAGGTGTTATGAAATAAGAAAAACTACTGAATATTCTTCGGCCAAAGTGATACAATCCTGCAAACTTTATTTTCAACTTCCTAACACTTGACAACAATCTTAAATTATTTCAGTTTAAAATCCACATGAGATTATAATAACTCAAATATTAGTGAAGGGTTAATTGATAACTTTAATTCAAAATAAATTAATAAATAATAATAATAATAATAAGTGCTAGAGAATCCTTTTGTCTAAGACGTATAGTAATTATGGCTCAATAAGGAACCAATAATATGATAATATTAGTAGATATAATGAGAAGATAATGAATATTATTATTGTTATAAAATCATTCACTATTTGAATATTTAATACCTATTTCTCAACCCCTATTGCTACCGTTCATAATACTCAAGCGGAGAATGTTACTATTGACAATGTTTTAGTTGTTCAGAAATTTGCTGATCTGTGTTGTTAGAAGATTTATTCGGGCTATTGAGTTCAATTTTGATTTAGTGTCAGGGATTCAACCCAACCTATCTGTATTCCTCCATATATATCGTATGCCCCAACTTAGTTGAGAGAACAACTCTGAAAGTAACTAACCTGATAAGGGGTTTATCAATCCCAGTGTAATAACCTGTGTTATTTCTAAAAAAGAAAGATGGCACGATGAGAATGTGCATTAACTACATGTAGTTAACAATCAAGAATAATTATCTCATAGTGATAACTTATATGGGGTGTTATTTACTTTTTCAAAATTGACTTGAGATCAGGTTACCATCAGCTGAGAACAAAGACCAAATATATCTCTAAGACAACATATTGAATTTTTGGCGATGTCTAGTGCGCCTGCATCACTTATGAACAGAATATTCAAGCTAAGTGACCATTTTGTGATTGTGTTCTTTTATGACATTTGGGTTTACTCGTAAAGCAGAACATGAGAATTGTGCTACAGACACTTAGAGAAGGAAAATTGTATGTCAAGTTCTGAGTTCTTGTTGGACACATTTTCATTTTTGGGTGTCACGAGACGGAATTCAAGTTGATATAAACAGACGTACGTTTGAGAATGGCCTCAACCTAGCACTTGTATTGAGATACTTCTTGGGAATAATTAGATATTACAGAAGGTAGGTTTGTGGAGGATTTATCAGATATATAGATGCTCCATTGACACATTTAACTGATCAGAAAGGTGTGCTTTTCAGTGGTCAGATCGATGTGAAGAAGGTTTTCAGAAATTAAGACTTCAATTCTGATTTTGACCTTACCTACGACGGAGGGTGGTTTCACCATTTCTTCATGTGATGCCCTCGAGTCGTATTGGGTTATATCTTCATGCAAAATGATAAAGTCATGGCTATGCTTCTCGATAACTAACAACTAAAGATTCATGATGAAAAGAATTTTTTGTCTCATGACTTGAAAATCACATTTGCACTCAAAATTTTGTATCAC